TTGTTAATTTTGTTAAAATCTTGCGCTGAAGTTTTTTATTTCGTTTTGACTCYCGGTAAAATTGTTCCCCTTTTGGCGATTAGCTATACATGCTCTTTTACCCCTGCACTGAAGTTTATCGTTTATTTTACCGTGCGGTTTGTTTTCTCCTCCCACTCTGGGATGACAGTCATGAAAGGGAGTCTAATTCCTGTCGGATTATTGGCGCTAAAGCTCAAGGCCGTCATTCTCTGAGTCACTCTTTCCTCTATGTTTTGGCGTCTYTTTACTTCCTTCGCCTGGTTTTCGYTCTGAAGTATGGAATTAGATTCCGGTTTGATTTTGGAGTCTTGAAGTTGAATATATTGGGTATGGAGTTATGAGAGTGGGCTGTTGAGTTTTTTATTTGAGTTTGGTGTGTCTAGGAAGCTCATCRCCATCAGATCATAGGGTCATCATAAGGGCATCTTGGTTGTTCGCGGAGCCAGATRTGCTTCCATACTCATACATGGTGAATACAGTGAGACCGATGTGAATAGAGTGTATTTATAGTAGTATACTAGTAGAGTAACTTTATTTAGGCTTATGAAAAGATAGTATATGACTTTCACCACCRAAACAGCCATTCACCACTGAAACGCGGTTTTGGGAACACGATTTTTTCCTAGGCTGTGATTAAGCCACGGTACTGAACTGTCAATGTAGGGGAAAYATCGCGAAGGGGAGGTGGGTGGGGTCAAAAATCCGTCTTCCCCTGGTACTTCGAATAGCAAGTAAGGGACCAGTCATTATTTAAGTCGGAGGGGGGATGGAGGAGAAAATGGGGSCCCTCAAATTGCTTTTAGCGGRACATKGGGGRCTTTGAAAGGGCAAAAGGWGGATTGGGAGGATTTTTTTAAACGATTGAAGGGGGGTACCCGAAAAACATGAATGMTATTATGTTGGGGTGTGGAAAAGCTTTTGCATCAAAAACGCAAAAAACAAAAAACGCAAAGTTTAGTAAWTATTGAAGCGATGTCATAGTTTTGAATGTTTYGAATGATTGATATCCCCTTGGTATCAAACTTTAAAAKGTATAATAAGATTMYGTGCTTACTCGTTTCATGGCTGTYTTAATGGTGTATAATATGCCACCAATAAACAATATCTGTATTTAATTGATACCATCCATAACMAAATCTGTAATAAACTGCTACATTCTCCCAAAACTCAAAAATCCCAGTACCAAACCAAACTGTTTGAAGGTAGTCGTCTGGCCCACCTAYTGGGCTTTCTCTCTATGCAGTCACACGTCCACGTCCCTGGGCGTGAATCAGAACTTGACTGCCACAAGACACTCAAACAACTCTTGGTAACAATAGATGACAACACCGGTGGAAAGGATCTATWAGCTGCCCCTCCGCTAGATAGATAGCCTCGTAGTCGTAAGACTGAATAGCGCAGCGCAGTCGTGACGTCATAAAAACGAAGACAAAGGCGAAATTCGGACAAACAAACTTACGAGTTTACTTTCAGCAGATAATTTTCACAGCCGATCGCAGTTGATCTTAGTTTACATGGGTTATTATTGTAACTTTAAGTAAAAATAATAAAATCGGTTCGTATAAATCCTTGTAGCGGTTAAACAGAATGCAATGTTTGTCCGAATCTTTAAGCTATTTTTAGAATCAGTGCGCTGCGCTATTACGCAAATATAATACGTATGAAATAATAAGAATAATAAATATCGACATAACAATACAAGGGCTAATTACAGATTAAATCTATGGGCGTATGGATTATAAAAGAGTTCTTAACATGTTTTAAAACTTATAATTTTAAATGTTCTGCTTTTCCTTAAACACTTTGATAGGTTGGCTGTAGATGGAAAGATGTGCTAGTTTACGAACAGAATTAGTTACATCTGTAATTAGTTTACTAGGGCATATTGTAAAACATTGACTGGACTGGACTGGACTGGACTGGACTGGACTGGACTGAAAAAAATCTGTAAAACATGGACTGGACTGGACTGCACTGGACTCGAAATCTGTAAAACATGGACTGGACTCGAAATCTGTAAAACATGGACTCAAAATAATAAGCTTAAATAACCGGAAATGACTCCACGACTTCAGCTTATTATCTGTAAGCTTGATTGTACATTGGAAAAAATTGCCCATACATTTGGAATATTTGCTCTTTTCGGTCTTTTTTCTCTTTCCAAAGCAAAAGGTTGTTCTTAAAAGTAAAGTTATATAGCACAAGTAAACTGCGTGACACAACATCCTAAATGACCCGTAAATCTTCTGTTCTTTCGCTAACTACCGTAGTTAGCTTGTTTTCGAGKCTACGAAACCTAAGAAACCATAAGAGGCAAATGTATAGCCAACAGATAGTATGAGCTTATAAAATCAGCCAAAATACGGTTCCAAATTTTAACAAATTCCTATGAATTATATACCAAAATGTTCAGGAAAGCCCGGGGTTTTCAAATCCACTTCTGTTTTTTTGACAGTTTCTGTTTTATTTCAAGGAGAGACGATTTTCTAGCTTGACCCCGGTTATGTCATGCGAAAGAACAGAAGATTTACGGGTCATTCACGCAGTTTACTTGTGCTATATAACTTTACTTTTAAGAACAACCTTTTGCTTTGGAAAGAGAGGAAAAAGACCGAAAAGAGCAAATATTCCAAATGTATGGGCAATTTTTTCCAATGTATAATCAAGCTTACAGACAATAAGCTGAAGTCCTGGAGTCATTTCCGGTTATTTAAGCTTATTATTTTGAGTCCATGTTTTACAGATTTCGAGTCCAGTCCATGTTTTACAGATTTCGATTCCAGTCCAGTCCATGTTTTACAGATTTCGATTCCAGTCCAGTCCATGTTTTACAGATTTCGAGTCGAGTCCAGTCCAGTCCAGTCTAGTCCAGTCTAGTCCAGTCAATGTTTTACAATATGCCGTTTACTAGATAGCATGTAACATCTCACTAAGTTTTGGAATCTTTGCCCCTTTACAGGGGTTGATACAGGATTTTAAAAAGGGGGTGGGTAATTTTTAAAAAGTTCTTTTGAGCCTTTTTTTCGCAGTACAAAGGGGGAAAATGATTAAATTATAACAGTTGTACTGCATACTTGGAATGCAGCTAAATTTTGACTCTYGACATATTTTGTAATTAGATGAAATCATATTCCTTTTTTCTATTCAGCTCTTTTTGTGTCAGAAGATAAAGACGTTTGGCTGCCTTAATTTGTTATAATAGCGTCGACATTATTGTTCCATCTTAAATCTTCAGCGATGTTCAATCCCAAACTTTAGTTTATGTGACTCTTTCAAAGAATTGATCATTCGCGCTAACTACATCATACTGTGGTCGTTAGYTCTTGAAGAAAGTATTTCTTTTTTTAAAAAATTCTTGCACTTGAGCGGGTGGAAATTATTTCCCAAACTGTCCACTGACAGATGGAATCAACAGGGTTCGTACGGGTTTTGGAAGTAATATTCCAAAGCCCACAATCGCAGCCGAGGACTAGAACTAATTGCGCGGACTTGAAATCCCGTCCAGTACGATATTGGAGGCTTTGAAATGAAACTCCTAGGACTAAATTAATTTTGTTCCAGTTACTCCAGACTGAATGCATTCCTTTCACAAGAATTAACCATGATTCAAGTAACATCATGTGACCCAAAAATAGCCCATCGATTATGAGAAAATCTTGGAAAGTTTTGGAAATCAGCACATGTAATGCATTTTTCCAGGACCTGGAAAGTTTCGGAAAATTTCTTTTTCGGCCACTGGGCTATGGAAAAGTTAGGMTTTTTTTCTGTCGGTTGCCCAGGTCCTACCTTCCAAAGAACTTTCCGTTGTATTAATTAAAAACGCCGATGAAAGACTGCACTGATTTTTTATATGAAAGTTCAACAAAACTCTTATCTTGTAGTTGTTGAGATTTTTTGTGAAGTAAACAGAGAAATAAATGTTAATATGTTGCCATATTTTGTATTGGTTTGTATGTTGAATGTTTTTCATCCATGAATTTCACTTCATTTTTTTGCTTATGTGGTTTTGGAAATTTTAGTTGATGGGCTTTGAGAACTTTTGGAAATTTTCACTGAGGAATCTGTACGAACCCTAAATCAATCAAAAGGCTTTAGTTAGACTTTGTTGGACTATACTTCAGAGAGAACCAGGACTGTGATACAAATGGAAGGAAATGCCGGAAGGGATTTGAGTTATTTTGTGGCAATTTTTAATATCGAACGCTGGACATTTTTTGAAAACAAATTTGTAAGAACCTTTACGTGAGTCACGAGTAAAAGGGTGATGCTTTTAAAATACTGTATTCCAGAACGAGTGCAGTGTTGTATATTAAATGATCCCTTATGTTACGTCATAGTCATTAACATATTGGGAATATAAACCTTCGTATCTCAAAGACCCGACATTCAAATGACGAAATATTTTCAYAATCAACTATCCACTATCTAAAGAATCAATTCTGAAAATATTGTGTAAAGGCTCATAAGCACTTTAATCCGTGAAACACTAATTACTAAATAGTACAAAATTAAACAATAGAAGACAATGGAATTGTATGAAATTGTGCTATTTAGTATTACTAAAGTTTCACGGATTTCATTACTGTGGTCACTCTACGAATTAAGCAGCTAGTAATTGAATAATGAGGGCAAAACTTGTCAAACAGCGGACAATAACATGAAATACGAACCCAACTGAAGACATACTGCTAGAAAACTGAATCAAACATACACAGCCGAATGAATCTTAAACATTACCCAGAACCTGACAAGATCCGTAAAAAAAAAGACATGTAACAACCAGAATAATCACCTCGATAACTGGTTGTCCCGAGTGCCATGGCGTGCCCGTAGGCTTCGCTGACGTTACTGTGAAAAAAGAAAATAACCGTCTAGCACTGACTGCTGCGGCGTAACTTAGCAAATAGGACCGAAACCTAAGTGTAAAGGGCTACTCGCCCTGGTATCACACCTAAAAAGAGCGTACTAAAATCCTGCGCTTACTCGTTTCATGGCTGTTTTAATGTTGAAACTGAAATAGTAAGTATAATACATAGTAGTAGACACTAATAGTAGTTCTTAAAGTGGGTGGGGGCAGGGCTAATTTCTGTTGTTTTTTCATAAAGGAACAAACTAAATAAGGACAACTTCGTTTGACGGGCCAAATAAAATAACTCTAGCGCATTTCAATAAAGGGACAAGGGTAAGCTGTTAATCCCCCTTATCTTTATAGTAGTAATTGATGCGCATACCAAGATTCTGAAGATGTTGGATTGCTTCGTCTCTATACAGCCTGGTTTTTACTAGCGATACAAGCATAAACGACAAACGCTATTAAGTAACCCCTTTATATTTGGGTAGTACAAAATATGCGGCCATCTGTCCTTGCGTATGTCGCTAGTRAAAACCAGTCCATAAGGAGGGAAGGCTGTTTGCATGTGTAGGATACTTTACAGCACGAACGAATAAAGGAAAATAATCATGCAGGTATTTGTGACAGTCCACAAAACTGTGTTAAAAGGGTCTAGCCTTCACATGTCTGTTTTGGCTTCAGTTCTTGCACGATGCTGAGTAGTTTGATGGCTGGTCCCAGCTTTAGACCCATGTATGACATGATCATGTCACGGTTCAACAGAAGCAACGCCCTGCCATCTATTTCCTGTCCAAGACACAAATTTAAAACAATATTTGGCTGAAATCCATCATCACGACATGCTAAAAAGCCGACTATTCACCAAATTGAACAACCCTTCAGAATGAATGTCTTAGTTACAACCAACGACCAAGGAATATATATATATATATAATCGTATTCAATTCGATCACGTTACAGATTAATTGGCTATAACAGATCACGTGACATTCACCAGAATTCCAGTGACGATAGCAAATCACGTGACAATTTCAAAGAAGATATTAATTGGCTACGATAGATCACGTGACAAAATGTCAAGAAGATATTCAGTGGCTATTCAGTGATACATGTTGACTATCAAAGCCATTTGCACATTGAACGATATCACATGCTTTACTTGACTTACATGTATTTTAAACAGTGAGGTATAATCAGCGAGTTCTGTATTTTCCATGTATTTAATGACCTCATCGACTGTCCACGTCTTGGCTGGTGAAGTCGAACAAACCTGAGGGGGACTTTCATCTATAATGGATGGCGTTAGTGATTACGACGAGATAGCAATGTTGACATTATGTTGACTACCTTCCACTCTCCTGAGAATACGAATCTTCAGTGAAAGAGTTAAATCTATAAGTTATGGTTTTCTCAAGCATTACTAGTAAACCACCTCCCGGGTGGCTCAGTTGGTTCGGCACGAACTATGGCTCAGATAACTATGTAAAATGAAGGTCCCGTCTCACTCAGAGACGTCAAACATAGAGGGCCACAAATCTATCAGTGCTAAGTTGGCAACTGTCACCTGTCAAACTCTCTATTTAAAGGCGATTATCATCATCATGATCATTATCATTATTATTGAAAGAAAAGAAATAAAACTAAAACTGGTTTATTAGTATATGTAATAGGACTCCAATAATTGGATGAGGAAAATTCCAAGGACTGCGACCAAATTGGGTGAGGCCGTAGGCCGAGTTCAATTTGGCAGTCAGAGGAATTTTTCGAGTCTAATTATTTCTTGATTGGGGAGCATGAAATCCCATTACCTATTAATTATATAGATGCCTAATTAATCCCATATCAACAAGACCTGTCCAATTAAGAAAATAATTACCTTATTTCAAACAGTTACCTATATGGGATTAATGAGAAGCTGTATAATTAATAGTGTAATACAAAATGCACATAAAATAACTAGCAAATACTTACCGATTTCCTGGACACATAGTTTAAGAGTCTTGCTCGGCAGGGCTTCGCTCGCTTCTGTAGAAGGCCGCTTTGCTCTGCCTTTTGAAACTGTTTAAGAGAGGGGGAAATAAACAATTCTAAGGTTGGCTTTATATGTGTATGTATACGGCCTTTAAATGTGATAGGATACATACAAAGAGAGTAGGGGCAATTGTGGTATGAATAGAGCCAACAATCTTCATTCATGCTTTTTCTAGAGCATGCTACTTAAAAAACCACATAAATGACCGATTCTTATAATGRTTTTGCATTGAGCATCGCACCTGTTTTGCAAGCAAAAGTTCGTGTCAACAAGTGTGTACCATTGCATGCAATAAAATCATGCTCTTACCTAAGGAAACGTGAGCGTTTTTCAATGAACTCTATGATATCGAGGTTTTGCTCAAGCTTCTTTGTTTATGCTTTTGTTTCAAACATCCTACTAAAGCGCTTGCACCAGCAAAATTGAATGCACCACCTGCAACGTATGCCGGAGATGGCGCACAAAGAAAAAAAGAGAAAAGAATAAAAATAAAAATACCCGATGTTCTCTGACATTTGTTGCACCCGCCGTTGATTTGACTGCTTGACATAAAGTTTTCGCAGCACCGTAAATCCTCAATGAACCTGTCCAACACTTTCCAGAAGATACGTACACGGTCTATGGTCTGTAACATACAGCTCAATTTCTGCCCATTACCGCGGGCTACTATACATGTTTTACCAGTACCAGGCCTTAGAAAGCCGAATACAGTGGGCTGGTTGTACGAGCAATCGACTATCCCCTGTAAACATGGTTTGAGAACATCTGAGATGCGACCACGCCAGTAGGGCGGTAACAATCGGGACACTTTCTCGGGATCCAAGAATTGACCGATTTTACAGCCGTGGTTGACATACACGCATACAGTAGGGAATGACAGGCGATTCAAGTGAGACTGCCGGACTTCTAAGTAAGAAGAACTCGTGGATGTCGTATTAGAATCTTGTGCTGGTGATGTGAGATGAGGTGATGAGGATGCGGATGAAGTTGTGTGGGTTCGGGCGGACCTGTTTCCGGTTGCTTCTTCTGGTTCTTTTGAAGTTTTTGTTCTGCAAAGTTAAGAATGCAGATACCTTAGAAATATACATGTTATTCACCGAGCAGTAGGTTTCGAATATCCGTTTTCACAGTTTTCTAAAAATAGCCATATTTTTTGAATTTGTGGTCGGCAGTGATATCGAAATTAATCTTACCTGGTAGCGCTTTGCATTTTGGACCATTTTTTCGAATTACCTGTYGTTGAAGAAAAGAAATAATTATTGCAATAAAAAAACAACAGAACAAGAAACCCCTTAACCAACCATCCAAACAACAACGAACCTAAATTAAAAACCAACCACGCCTTATTTCTAATTGTTTGATGTCGGGTTTGAATTAGTTTTGATGGAAAATCTGTCCCGGGTTTTGAATTCTGCATTTATACTAACAGGGGAGAGCGGGGCTGAATTCAAAACCCGGGAAAGGCTATCCATCAAAATTCAAACCCTCCATCAAACATTAAAAATAGGGACGTGCTTGGATTTACATTGAAATTTTAGACCTCGGGCCGCCTCGAATTTCAATGCATTTTAACCCTTATATAACAGCCAACCAAAATTCCGTTGGTATGTTAGTATGTAAAAGAAGTTAGTACCCCCCCCCCCCCCCCAACCCCCCCCCCCCCCCCCCCCTCAAATGTGACCTGGTTTCTTACCAGGAGGTTGCAAGGGATGCCCACTTAATGCACACCAGCCAACAGGGAAGATATTTCGAGAGTCAAATCTACACCAAAAGTCTGATCCAAGGTAACCATCAAAGTCCACACGTATCTTTTCTCCCTCTACCTTCCCCACAGTAGCTACACAGATCAGGGCAGGATTCTTTGGGTCCATGGCTTCTAGTTTCAATCCTGGATAAAACTTGTTCTTCTCAGGGCCATCGGGTTCCTTCAAAAATTATGACAGCTGGTGAGCGGATTGATGGATTGACACTGTAGTCGTGTGTATGTGAAATGGGCTAAACACATTGAGTCATCTGCTGCTCATAAAGAGCTATCGGAGCATGTAGTTCTAAGGTGTGAAAATGTAGAGAGAAAGAAATAGTGGAAGACTGAGATAAATAAAGGAGGAAAGAAAAAAGAATGAAAGAATGAAAAGAAAAAAGTACGAAAGAAAGAAAGAAAAAGAATGAAAGAAAAAAATGGAAGGAAGGATGGAAGCAAGCAAGCAAGCAAGCAAGCAACAAGGAAGCAAGGAAGGAAGCAAGGAAGCAAGGAAGCAAGCAAGCAAGCAAGCAAGGAAGCAAGAATGAAAGAATGAAAAGAAAAAAGTACGAAAGAAAGAAAGAAAAAGAATGAAAGAAAAAAATGGAAGGAAGGATGGAAGCAAGCAAGCAAGCAAGCAAGCAACAAGGAAGCAAGGAAGGAAGCAAGGAAGGAATAAGGAAGAAAGCAAGGAAGCAAGGAAGCAAGGAAGCAAGCAAGGAAGCAAGGAAGCAAGGAAGCAAGGAAGCAAGGAAGCAAGGAAGCAAGGAAGCAAGGAAGCAAGGAAGCAAGGAAGCAAGGAAGCAAGGAAGCAAGGATGAATGGATGGATGGAAGTCTCTAATATATTATTAAGAAAAGAACGACAGTATCAACATTTACTATTTAGTTTGAAACGGCGCGGCTAACCAGTACCTAAGATGTTAATGTAAATTTGATTATTTTYGAGCTATTAACCAAGGATAATAAGACAAAAGACAAGAGAATGAAAAAGTTCAATCGCTTCATCTAAAAAGTGAAGACTCACTTTACCTTTTTAAAAATTCTGGCAGGAGCGATAATTGATTCAGGTGAATGAGAAGACAAGGTTTTTGCAAGAAACGTTTGATATCGACCAACATCTTTACGAAAACCTGGAAGAGCATTAAAGGAGATTATGACAGGTCTGATAATATAATTTATTACACATTTAGGGTCGATATTCGTGAAATAAAGTTGTGAATAAAAACATATCAGTGAAGTGATACGATATAACTACAAATAATAATCTGCCTAAAAATAAAAATCTGCATATGCGCATTACGGTGCAAAGCCCTTTGGCTGCAATTAACTCTGCTCATGTGCAGTAACATTGCATTTGTCAAGATGGTACGCTTCCCTGTGACTTGGTATGTTTGATAAATAGCAAAAACATCAAAGCACAAAGAAAAAAAMCCAATAATTTTAATTAAAAAAATAAATCAAAAAAATTCAAAATTAATTCACCTATAGGGGGTTGAAGTATAACCTCGTTCGCCTCACACCATCCTACAGGGTGTATCTCGGTAGAGTCCACTATGTGCCAGACATCATTAGACTTGTCCGTGCCATCAAAACGGCATCTGATACGCGGTCCAAATGTCGCTACAACAGTAGCCAGACAAGTACATTTTATGATACGAGGATCTGATACTTCTAACTTCATTCCTGGCTTGAAGCCATTGTGTGGCGGGGTTGCACTCTGGAATATCATCATACAGGCCATAAATAATGATGGGTGTATGCAATACATAACGATTGCGTCTACATCACAGATGTGCAATTAACATATAGATGCATATCTAATACRCGATTTCCTCAAATGCACGTATTATTTGCGCTTACATCGCAGAGCTACAATTAAACACATAGAGACCTTACATGCACGTATTGATTGCGCTTAYATCGAAGAGCTACAATTAAACACAGAGACCTTACATGCACGTATTGATTGCGCTTACATCGCAGATATACAATTAAACACATAGAGACCTCACATGCATGCAGATGCGCAATTAACACAGAGGCATAGCTTAAATTGTAAAAACTGCCTGGTTGAAACAACCAACAAAGATGGTTATAAAAAATTGAATGGTTATTACAACTAATTTGTTATTGGTTGATAAAATGACCAATATCAATATGGTCGCCATTACCAGATTCATTTTGGGTAAAAACAACCTCAAATTTGGTTGATAAAATGAACAATATCAATATGGTCGTTATTACCAGATTCATTTTGGTAAAAAAAACAACCTACATACTTATAACCGATCGAAACAGCCGTTTCAAACTATTTCTTATTGGTTGATAAAATAACCAATAAGGTTATTAATACTGCAACCAAACAAAACGGACGCTCTAACCGACTGATGATGGCTGTAACCCAAAGTAAATCGTTCATGTCAAACATTACTATCATGGTGGTTGTAACCCAAAGTGAGTCGTTCATAACAACCAATATTTCAACCATTTTAATACGCCCCTGACGTATTGATTGCGTCTGCATTGCAGATGCTCAACTATAACACAGAGGCATAGCTTATACACAAATGTCCTCACATGCATGCACGTATTGATTAAGTCCTACCTGCTTGAAGAAAGACCATGGAGCGCCTTTAGACCCAGTCTCCCTCAGGTACTGCTCCCAGTCAAACAATGGCCACGAAAAGGAAGCAAACTCTGAGCAAAGTAGACAAAAAATGGGTCATCATTAGTGAAATTCAGGTGTTTTTTTTATTTATCTAACGTAGATTTTAAGATTTTTTGAAATTCAACCTTATGAAAAGTCCCGTGCATTATTTCAGGGTTTTGTCCTCTTAAAGCTTAAAACATATTGTTCTTCAATATAATTTTGACCTTATGACCAGTATATTTTTCCACAATATACTGGACCTAAACCGGAGTTTTTTGGACGGTATATTGATGATTGTATTGGTGCTACTTCTTGTTCKCGTAATGACTTAGATTCTTTCATCTCTTTTGTTAACTCTTTTCACCCTGCCTTAGACTTTACGTGGGAGGTTAGTGAAACATCAGTCACTTTCCTTGACATCTTGCTTAGTGTTAATGACGACCGTCTTAGCACTA